AATGAGATCAGAAGTCTTATTTTTGTATAATCTAATTATTTTTCTTATATAACTTTTGTGTAATATTGAACTTTAAATTTTATAATTGTAATCTAGAAGTTCAATCACTATACTATAGATCTATAGATTTATAGAATTTAAATTTTATTTTATTTTAATTTTAATATTATAATTAGTAAATGTTTCTATTATTATAAAAATCAATAGATAAAAATTTATAAATAAATAAGTATAACGTAATTTTTACTAAAAAGAGATTTTTAAAATATAAATTTTTGAACAAATCAAATACTATGCTTTTAAAATTTTTTTCTTATAATATATTTATATATTTTTAAATATCTTTTTTTCATATTCTCTTACCTAGTTTTTTATTATCTAATAGCTTAATAGAATTAGTAATGATAATAATTTGTTGGGAATAATATAGAGGTTAGAAATGGTTTAATCTAAAGTTACTATAGAGTATCAAATTATTTTAAAAATTTTTTTGCATCTGTAATAAGTTAATTGAATTAGAAATAGAAATTTAGCTATAAAATATATTCTACAATTTAAATGAATACGTATTTTATATTTGATTGATTAATAAACTCTTAATATAACCCGACTATAAATTATTCAAAATACTGTATATGCTATATGCAGTATATATAATTAAATAAATCTGATTTATTTATATCATGACAAATTTTGAACCTAAAACACAATTTTTCTAATTATATCAATTTTTTATAGTAAAAAGTTTACAGTATATTGATCAATAATACGACTAGTGACTGGTTATTATTTATTTTATTTCTTTACATACTATATGCTAATGATTATTTTATAAAAAGATTTAATTGCATTCCTTTTTTAAAATATTTAATTAATTATTTATTTTATCTAATATTTTGGTTGCATGATCATTCTTTGTTGCTAGAAAAATGTTCTTAATAAAAAGAATTATTTTCCATATTCTTTGGGATAAGTATAATATATAAAAGAAAGAAGGTATAATATAATCTACTACTTATCCATTTCTTTTGCATATATTCAAATCAGGCATTAAGGCTTTATTATTACCATAACTGGAAAACAATAAAAAGGGATGACATTGGTCTCTTCGCGCTTGATATTTTGGCATGGACCATATAGGTGAGAGGCCTTCGTTCTAATTTCCTGTTCCTCACTTTTTATTTTTATCCTCCCAACGCCACCGCAACCTTATCTGTGTCATCACCGATTGTCCCTGGGACTTGCCTGATTAGTTTCAGCTGACTATTCACACACCTTCAGAGCAATGGACAAGGTTTTCCACTCGCGAATGTGCCCAGCAATCTCTCAATGTCCATCGCCTGACCAGGGAACCAGAAGTCGGAAAAAGGTAACGTACAGTTGAGGGATCGTGCGAAGATACATTGTGACCTTTGTGTAATGTTTATTTTCCAGTTCCCTACATCGTATCAAAGTCTAATACATATCGGTGTATAACAAGGAGGACAGTGGCAGATTTTCTCACAATGTTACTCGAACTGGTCATCAACCGGTTTTCCCTTTAATTCTGTTCCCTGAACGCGTATTGGGGAGGGCGACGAATAATTGGTCCTTTCGAATTGACAGGTGAAAATTGTTGCCTTTCCAAGAAAAAAGAGCTCGTTGAATAAATAATTAATGGGGGGATCAATTGGCAAATTTACTCGTTTTAGTAAACCGAAAAACAATGACAGAATTATAGTGTCATCGACAGATGTTATAAACAATCGACCATAACGGTCTGTTATGATGGAGGAGAAGAGAAAGAAACTCGGTTATGGAAGTTCTTTTTTTTTGCCCAACAATTGCACGGCCTAAATGTGCATAATCATGCCGAATATTTTGATACCTAACAATTGGGCAAATAAAAATCACCTTTTGATGTATCCTTTTGTTGTTTACTATTATTGGATGGTCAAATTCATTTATCACTTTAATCGTCAACGAAGAATTAATTTTCATATGATTTGCGAGAGAAAACTGTAGCATATTATTAGCATTATTAATTAGAGGGTTTACATACTGTGCATACACATACTGTACTTACATATTAGAAGATTTATGGTTTAAACGACGTTGATCAGGATATGAAACACCAAGGAAGAAATTTCCCACAATTCTCCACCAGGAGAAAAATAATCCTGTGCATCCAGATATTTGCAACTTGGTTGCATTACGTGTTTATAAATTCTTTAGGTGGCATTGCATCAAAAACATCAATTTTATTCACCAAATACACGTTGGCATTTTTTTTTTTTTTTTTTTTTGTCCGTATGAACGGTCACCTAAAAAAGCAACTCCCGAGAATTATTTAATGGTAAAATGTATTGCATATAAAATTAATTTTCAATCGGATCAACTTTTTTTTTTTCCCTAATACCGTCTATGTGGTAGACGACAAGTTAGATTAATGAATTCTGCATAAATAATCCATATCAATTTCTCATTTCGAACCGCATCCTTTAACATGCCTACAGCCATAGCCTCGTCTCAGTGAACACAATTGATGAATTGTGAAATAAAACAAACAATGTCTTCGTAAATAAATAAATATGTATAGGTATACAGTATATTTATGAACTTTTCGTACAATGTAAAATAAAAATAAAAATAAAAAATTTTTTTATTAATGAGGAAATCGTCGGGCGCTTCTTTTTTGGGTGACTGTATGCAGACATGCACACACACCATAGTAGGAAAAAAATTATCATCAAATGACAAACTTGTCTCGGAGAATACAAGGGTATTTCGATTTTTTTGGACGTAACCTTGTTTAAAAGACCTCTTTTTTATATCGATTGAAAAGAGAATGTTCATTATAAAATAACTTGAACCGGGGCAAGGTGGCGTCCGTCTAATTTTATAATGAAATCGTTTACGTTACGTATTGATATGGTTGACTTCGTCATCAATAACTTATAGTTAAGCGTCGATAACAATGCACAATAAATATTGTTCGATCACGTGGTTGAGTAACAATTAGCGAAATACGTACGTACCTCGTAGAATAAGGAAATTTTGAATGCAAACAAACCTAGAGGCTGAAAGAAATTTACACGAAAACCTGATTTAATTAACTGTGGATGCCCAATGAAAATCTCAATTCCCTGGGCTTATTGTCTTACGCGCATTTCTTCAATTGTTCGCGGAAATTCTCGGTAAATGTGTTTAAGAACCGCTAACAGGTTGCCTACATGTTTATGCATGCCGTCTCATTTGTTGTCATATTGTAGACTTGCATTTAGTGTGCATTTCAGGATAAAAGATTATTTCCTTTAGCATTCACCGGCATCGAATCGTACTCGTTCGTCTGTCTCCATTGGATCAAATTGGCAAATACGTATTCAACGCTTCATGCAATTACCTCATTAAAAACCCGCCCGTACTTTCTTTGTCTTCACAATGGGACTTTTTTGCGCACCCTCTAATCCATTCCATTTAGATATTTATTGTGCCTTGGCATTATTACCGGGTTTTACATTGCACATACCAGTACATGTTCAACTAATCGGTCGTCGAATGATGAATGACTTAGATCGGATATCATGCATCTCATCGATTGCGAGTTGCCTCAGTATTCACATCTTACTCGAGATTTTCCGCCACGTTTTTTTTCGTTTTGTGCGCTCGGAATCTCTCGCCTGTTTCAAATTTGCGAAATTTAGTTTGGACAAAAATGTTGCAACCAACCGATTATACATGGCCTGTGGAATGACGGATAACAATTAATGTCAATTCGCGTGATCGTGCCTCTTGTAAGTTTAAAGGGACCCAGTTACCATTCTTTTAATTATTTTATTTACACACATGTACGTGTTTCTGCCCTGTCACTTTGATCGACTTTTTTTTTTTTTGTTAGTGGCTGCACGAGATCCTCTCCTGGCGTGATACGTGTAATTCGTGAATGTTTACCTCACCAATGGGGTCACCTGGATTTAAAGTGCGCGAACTCGTGTAATTCGCACCACTGGTAAGGCGGGAATAAATGCTAACTTTGTGGTTTGGATTCTGTTACCAACAGCAAGTGTATGTGTATGTGTATGTGTATGCACATACTTTTTGCTGCGCTGCTCCTGCTCGATGATTTTTTTTGCCCCACATCCCTATGCTATCCAAAACCGTCGGATACCCGAAAAAAAATAAATGTGATTTTTGATTGCGTACAGTACATCCAAATCAACAGTATGCCCAATTTCCTAATAAAAAACCTTTTTTTTTGTGCTACTTGCAATATTACAAGTCCATCACCCCTTAAGTTACAAACAAACGAGGTTACATGATTTTCAAAAAGGTCACCAGTTTAAAGTCTACTGACTAAACCCAAAGGTGCTAAAACACGCACACACACACACTTCTCTTCGCATCTTTCGGTTTCGACACACGCAACGAAAATATTAGTGCCTTTTATGATAAATGGGGAGCTGTTAGCAGTTCTCTAAAAAAAAAAAAAAAAAAAAAAAAAAAAATATAAAAGAGCGCCCGGTTTTTTTATGCCTTATCTTTACTTTCATTTGCAACAGCCATTGTGTTTGCCGCTACATTTACAAGAATACAAATTGTGGTGGTGGTCTGTGTGTCTCGTTTACAAATATCTCTTCACCTTTATTGAAACGAAATCTCTATTTCCGAACGTGCAAAACGAAGAAAAAAATAGTTATTTTCCCTCTGGCTAAACAATCAGGAAGTAACGATTCAGTGTAGACCGAACACACAAACTCACGCACACCTTACCCATACACGCAAAAAAAAAAAAAGTGACTGCACACACGCTCAACATTTTTATCCACACACGCCTATTCACCTTCCCTTAATCCCTCCACACCATCTCTACCACTTCAATTCCCTCCCACGACTTGCGATCACCCAAGATCGAGAAAACCTTCTTCCTTTCTCACGATTTTTGGATGATACAAGAAGTAACGCAAATCGAATCTGTCATGTCAATGAATGAGCACATCTGTAGCAATCTGACAAACGTAGTAATGCCCTCACAATCAAACGAAATGTTATCTTACGATGTTTTCAGTGATAATTCACATTTAACGACCTGTTCGGAAGGGGATAATCTATTTCATGAAGAATCGGGTAAATACGATCTTGACACGGTATCGGTTTTCGTCGCCAAATTATACCAGTAAGTTGGCTCACTTCTTTTTAAGCTGGTCCCAAAACCCTCCTTGGTAGTCGCGTACGCAATCAGGCGATTTCTAACTTTTGTGCGATTTCATTTAATAACAGATTGCTCGACGGTGACGAGTACAAGGAATACCTTACGTGGAATGAAACCGGTGATGTGTTCGTGATCTGTAATATGGACGAATTCGCGCAAAATGTATTGCCGAAATACTTCAAGCATTGCAAATTCACCTCTTTCGTCCGACAACTCAATGCAAGTAACTTCATTATTCAATTTATGACGGTCGATTCATTCAATCAACCTAAACTGATGATCATTATCGTTGTTTCATTTTATCTTCATTCTAGATCTATGGGTTTTATAGGGTGTCAGATGCTCGCAAATCAAAGCACGTTCGAAGCAAACACGCCTGTGTGTTCTCCCATTCTCAATTCAGACGCGGTCGGCAAGACCTATTGCCAAACATACGTCGCAAGGTGGCGAAATCTGGGAAAAGAAAGTCACGTCCTTCGGAACCTTTGTTGTCACAGAATCAGAGTGAAACCAACACTGTCTCTTCTCCGCCCTCAGTCTATGGGTCTCCTGTCAATAGTAAGAACGGAAGCATAACAAAAGACTCGCCTTCCCAATATATGCTAAATTCCTTCCCCGAATCTAAAGATCTTGTAACACATGCTGACAAGTCCGATAGTGAAGACGCTATGCGTAAACGAATTGCAGAATTAACCGCGATAACAGAAAATCTTCGGAAGGACTTAAAGAATATGAGCGACATAGTCAATGAACGTTTGCTTCCCGAAGTTCGTAGTTTAACCGAAGACTTACATAAGCATCAAGTTCATTTGATGCATCTAACCCATCTGGTGGCCTATCATTCCTCACCAGAAGGTGTGTATTGCGTTCGTCTATTGTTTGCTACGTGTTTACATGTTTCATAGTTCATCCATCCATTCATTTTATTTATATTTATTTAATTTTTTTTTTCTTTAAAAAAATCAAGACATCCAGTTACTTCCGGAGGTCAGTCGCGGATACACTCGGCACATGCCGTCGCATGATATACCACCGGCAAAGCGCGCGCGCCTCGATAATAAACAGACTGCCTCCGTCAAAATGGAACGGTCAAATTTATCGTCATCGACAGTCATCAATGCGCCCACGGTTCCTTCATCGGTTGCCAATGCATCCGCTGTCCCTTCATCATCAGTGCCTTCCTCTTATGATACCATATTTGCGTCCCATTCAGACAACAATCTAATGAACTCGCCTACCTCTCCGATCATCGATCATTCGGTTCAAGGAGCACCGTCAGTGTCCCAACCACTAACAATGCCAACCGACTCTCATCCTGCATATAATATTCCAGGTTCCCCAATAATCGGAAATTTCCAATCATCTTCGCACAACGATCACTCGTGCCTCACAGGTTTCAATGAGTCCTGGAGCTCAACGTGTCACTCATCTGTCTTGATGTCCGATTCAGTCAACGCCGTTCCCAATTCTTTTCTGTTTCAGACAACAAATTCCAATCAGTCTCCGATACTGTATTCTCCATCCTCGAACCCATCGCCACACTCACGACACGAGCAACTTTCATCTCCCGCTCCCTCCGCGGCTCCCCCAATGAGTCCAACCAAATATGGTGACGGTACCGCGACCACGGCTCACTTGATTTCAAATTCCGTGACCACTGCCTCAAGTACAAACGGCGATCGTCACAATGAGGTTATCGTCGCTGTGTCTCCACCACCATCAACCACATCGTCCTCTCCCATTTCACAACCCACGACATCAATAACAAATTATTATCAACCCCCTATGTTGGAGATGTATAACTCATATTCGAATTATTAGCTCGCGATGTTGGTGACAGTGGTTTGCGATGAGTGCCTGATCCGGTCGTTTGGCTTTTCCCAATGTGGGTGAAGTTGACAGTTTCATTTATGAACAATGATTGATCTATCCAGGGAGGCTGGCCTTTTCCCTTTTGGAAGTATCGATGGGTATCCGTCCGCTTCGATATGTCTTGCCCGATAAACATCCACCTCATCCCCATTTATCATCATTTTATAGCGTGTGAATGACTTATGATAATGACCGCAGAGAATTTATGAATTATTTTCTGCCCACAATTATTTCTTTTTTTTACGACTTTTATTCTCATCTTTGAAAAAAGGCGATGACAAAAAAAAATCATCCGTGTGTGTGTGTACTAGACCTTTTTTTTTTTTTTTTTTTGTTTTGGCTCCTTTTTTCTTTGTACATATGTACACTGTAAAAAAAAATTATGTTCCTATTTCATGTTACCACCCCATAATGATTTTCTTGTATTATTTTTTTTTTCTTGTTGCTACCCATATACACGAAATGCCTTACACATTATTCAGTATATTAAAAAACACAATTATTTTTTTCGTTTTCTTTTTTCTTTTCTGTTGGATTCATCAACATCCATATGCGGTATATACGTGTATATTTACTAATATGTATATTGTGTATATACTGTGTGTACTTGATGAATGTTCCATTTATTATTATATTATCATTGTAAATTCTGTGTTGATTTTGCACTATGGTGGAATATATACAGTATATCGCACACATAAATATTGGGTATTTCTTTCTTTTCTCTTTTCAATGTACTTTTCCTTCTTTCTATACACACATATATATATATTATATTGTATCTTCCATATATATTATTAGCTTACACCATCTTTGTTTTTTTGTTTTTTTTTTCCGTTATTCCATTCTATCCTCAGCGTCAAAACATACGATTCGATTACCTGTATCACCTCTACTATTCAAATTTATCATCAATATTCATTTCTTCTTATGGGAATTTGTAAGAATGAACAATGTAAGATTTTTTTATTAAATAAAATCGTACAATAAAATTTTTATCAAACATACCAGCGCGACTTGGTGGACGTCGAACTCATCGTGTTGCACTCCGATCCAACAATTTCATCGAGGATTCATAATTCGAGAATGGCACTGAAGTATTGACTAATACCTAATCCGAGGATTGGGTTGGTTACAAATTTATTTGGTTGTTGCTACAATAGTTATATAACAAATATGAGGCAAATCACATATCGCATATCTTTATTATTCCAGGGTTTTATGTTACAGTAAGTGCCTCTACTTTGCGCAATTTATAAATTGACCAAAAAGTTAAAAATTACAAGCATCTAAAATTTGCATTTAAATCAGTTCAAGATTCACGTATATTTGTCGATATTAAAAAAATCCGTGATTGTAATAATGTAATTTGTCGTTATTGCAAAAATATATTATTTATGAACCCTTCTGCAAAATAATTTCCTCCGGATACAATTTAGAAAATGATATTTCATGTTTTCTTTCGCCAACAAAATTGTTGTTCACAGAGTTGATTATTATTATAGAACTTTTATGTTTTGTTTTATAAATTGATACCTTAAACCACTCTAGCTTCTTAATATTTTTATTTCAATTTGTTATTTTTTCAAACTTTTTATTATATGAATTTCTTGTTTTTATAATAAATATCTTTATTTATTATTTCAAAAGATTTTTTTTTTTTTTGATAACTTGTCTTATTTTATATTGGTTTTTTATTTCTTTATTTACTTTCAATTTTAATTTATCAGAAATATATTATATTTTTTGATATCAAGATTATTTATATAAGACACAAATTAATCTATTCTCAAGACTTTTTGAATAACATTGTCAAAGATGATATCATAAAAATGGAATAAATTGAGGTTGAAAATTTTATCAATAAAATTTTACATAATGTAAAAAAATATTTTTAATGAAATAATTTATTGATTAATCAACAAATTAAAAAATAAATAATAATTTTAAAATAAATATTATGTAATCATTATTTTTTTCTTATTAAAAAATCCCCACTTCAAAATCATTAATCAATAATTTAACTAATAATATGATTGCTCAAATAAAATTTTTCTATTAATTTCTTTAATAACTTTTTTAAAATAATGTTTAAAGTTCTGTTCCTGATAAACTCCAGGAACTTATCTTCGAGCTCAAGATATTTCAATCTGATGTTTCATTTAAATGAAAATTAATCAATAGAAACTAATTGGATGTCACAAGTATAACAAAAAAGATAAAATACTTTTTTTTGAGATTTGAATAAATAATATTTAGATATATGGAAAAGAACTTAAATCTATTAAACAAGAATACATAATCATATTAGTTTAGTAAAAATAATATAAAATTTATATAGTTTAAAATATTAATAAATAATATAAAAAATAAACTCTTTTTACTGATCTTCTGATCATACATAAAAAAGATGTTTGCAAGAAGTTTTTATACTTCCTTGCTAATAAAGTCTTCATACTTTAATTAAATCAACTTGAAGCTTGTCTTTATTTATCTTTATTATATTTTCTTACTTGTTTATAAACTTCTTTGAATAAAAACTTGGATCTCTAATAACCTGAAAAAACTCAACTATGTACTTCCTCTATTAAGGGTAAGAAGATTCTAGAAAGTAAAAGGACTAACAAGTGAAGTGTCACCTTATAGAGCTAAAAGCAATAAAAATAAAGATTTTATTGATGTAGGAAGACTTATTATTCATCTTCTCATATACTGTTTTATATTCTCTTAGAGTGTTTACTGTTTTTCATAGTTTTTTTAGAAAATTTTGATTATTTCAGTTTAATCCTAAATTTCTAGTAGCACGATATCACCTAATATCTAATTGATTGATATGAAACACATTAATAACAGAATATAAACAAGCTTCTATTGATTATATCATGTATTTTAATAATATTATTGGTGAATGAAAGAATTAATTGCTACCTTAATTCTATTCACTTCTTCAATTGGATTAATTTATAGATCAAGTTTTATGAAATCAATAAGATATGAGCAACAAGTCCTCAGGTAATAAAAAAGCTGTTATTTGTTCAAGTTAAGTTTTTTTTTTTTTATCATTCTAATTAAGTAAAGTTCAAAACCAAAGTTTTCTTTTTATCCTGGTTAAGTAATAAGACTGAATTATCTCTAGTTTATGCTAAGCTCTAATTCTTTAGTTATAATTAAAAATACATTTTTCCAGAAGTTGTTAAAGAATATCGTAATCAACAAAAATTCTTATTATTTTTCAAAATCCTTCTACTATTACAAAACAAAATGATTATTGGAGAATCTGATCTTTTGGATAATAGAAGATATACAGTATACCAATAAAATTTCTTTAACTAGGTATGGTTACTAGAAAGTATTATATTGAAATAACATAATCCAGTTCTTATTGGGTCATATAAGAACCTGGGATCCATCATAAGTTATCTCTTAATCACAGATAAATAAAAAATCTTATTCAAAAAAAGTTGGAACCAAGTATATCTTGGAAGTAAAGACTTTTACTAGATAATAAATCTTCTTAAATGATATATAAGAAGGAAATCAAAATCAAGAATAGATAAGTTCTTTAGACAATAAAAAAAAAAGTATATTTCAATTGGGTATTTTTTATTAAGAAAAGGTCTTGAGAAGCAGGTCTTTGGAGAAAGCTGGAAATTTTTTTCAATTTTTACTTTTTTATTTTTTTGTTATCTATTTAGACATTTTTAAATATTTCCTCTTCTCTTTTTTCAATCCATCCTTTTGTATTTTTCTATATTCCAATGGTTTGATTAGATATATAATAATAACAATCTACTAGCAATATGCAGTAAACTAAAAGAATTTTCACCCAAAGATACTGTGAAGTGAAATATTGTTTTAAAAGCTGAACTTAGAGGTTTTTATACTTATGACAAGTTAGTTAGATTAGAATAATAATTTAGCTATAATTAGTAATAGGTCCTTAAAATATTTAGTATATAAAATTTTATATATTACTTATGTTCCTTTTTGAGGAACAAAATTCATAGCTCTTCATTTCAATAAAGACAAAAGTCAGGAAATACCATAAATCAATGATTTGGATAATGGAGAACAATTATGGATAGTTTTTTTATAGTTATTAATTTAAAAATTTTAATATTTTCTAGTAAAGGACATTTGACTTTTGTCACTACCTCTCCCTTTAGGGATCCATCTTTAGCTATAGTATGTATTATACTGCTCAAATGAAAATATGCTTATATTTTTAATTAATTAATAAATTGATGATTTAACCTAACTATGGGTACTCAAAAAAAATAAATAAATAAATTTGTATAGCCTAATACTAATTAATCAGAATTTGCTATTGATAGTTATATATTTTATCATCTGGCTCTTAACTAGATTTACTTATTCACAGAGTATAAATAGGTCTAGTTGAATAAGCTGTATTATATAATTATTAATCTACACTTACTTGACAAAAGTATCTGACTACATAAAGATCATTACTCTAAGGACCAAACTTTATCCATAAATAACTCGAAATCTAATTCATAAAAATGCATCAAAAATTTTTTTCTGCATAGTTACAAACTTCCTTTATTCAAAAATAAAAAAAAAATTAATGCCTAAAACTCGTGAACTTATTGATTTTGAACATAGCAAAATTATTGACCTATGAAAAGATGGTCATAGTAAGTGCAATATTAAAGATATTCTTAATTATCCAAAAATAACTATTTATGATATTATTGAAAGATATATGACAAATCAACAAACTAGTATTATTTTTAGGTCTGATAAATCATCTAAATTGATAGAAAAAGACATTAGACATCTTGTAAAAACTGTAAAATAAGATTAACAACAATCTTTAAATGAAATAACAGAAAAATTTAGTTAATCATTAACAATCTCAATAAGCTTTTATACTATTTAATGTATTTTACATAATAAAGAATTTTATGGTTGAGCTAAAAAAAGAA